CTCTCCATTGCTTTACGAAGTTCTAGCCATCTCCCCACGCGTCGACCCTTTTTCCGCCAACGCTTCGGCGAGAAACGAGTCCCCCAACTTTACAAAGTTTGGACGCACCCGATACGAACGCCCCGTTTGCTATCGCCTCTGTCGCTGCGTCCCCTCCCATGCTTTGCAAAGCTTGAGCCGTCTCCCTCTTCCTGACAACGCTTCGGTGAAGACGAGTCCCTAAAATTTTTATAACGCTTTAACGTACCCGACGCGAGCGTACCATTGGCTCATCGCCTCGGCTCTGCGTTCTTCCCATGCTCTACAAAGTTTCAGCTACCCCCATGCCGCGATCCGGTCAGGAAAACAAATCCACGTATAATATAAATATTCATTCTCAGATTTAGGGGACCACTGTTACGCCTCATTTTACGAGCCTCGGTACCGAAGTACCGAAGTGTCATCTCGCCACTCCGAAGCCGGTGAAATCAAATAGACCACTCCGACCTCCCGAAGCCTCTCCAAAGTGATACACCGATTCCTGTCACTGATCTGCCGAAGTGTCCCGTCTCCGAGGTCGGGTTCAAGTGGCTTGAACCCCCGTTAGAAGATTCGCTGCCAATTTAAGATTTGCTCTGCATATAAGGTTTAAATTGATTTGACGTCCCCCATAAAGCTATTTGATGTGACTTATCAACTTTATGTCAATTCAACTCGGGGGAAACAAACTGTCCGCCCACTCTACAAGCGCGGCTGATTGACGCCTATGAGCAGACGCTTCATACCGTCAGATGTATACACGTGTTCCACATCCCACGGTTCATACCATCTATAAATACCCAAAGATTGGCCAGAAGCAGAGGTAATGAAACTCTCAATAGATAGCACTCCATAACAAGTTTATATATTCTCCTCCCCCTTTATTGACTGATTGATTTGTGTAGTCCCTGGACACTGTTCCGACCACCCAAACCTGACTTGACCGTCGGAGTGTATACGGCCGCCACCCCCGTTGGTTCCGGCCGTGTGCGCCTGACAGTTTGTTCATTTCGTAGGGAGGAATACGTGGAGTAGCTACAAGTTGGCCACGTGGAAGAGCCATTTTTAGAGGTCAACACGGTAATTTATAATGATTCCAAACGTAAAAATTTGGGTCGTTATACCAAGACGACATTTGGCTTTTGGGTGCTTGCTATCAAGTTTCTCAAGATGACGATGATGGTAATTCTTCGTGTTCTGATCCAACTCAGAATGATTTCTCATCACGGATTTTAATCACATATGGGAAAGCTAACCCTATAGTACTTGGAGTAAACGTGCATATTGACGAATGATAATGAAAATTATGCTGGTAGATTTGTAGGGTTTCTGCCTGCTGGAGATCTGAAGTATACCAGTGATGTCAATTGGGTTGCATGATTTGAAGTAGTCAGATGCTAGTTGCTCAGGCATTTCACTCCATGCTTTTCTTTAGCTTTGTCACAAATACTGGCCATATCAACATTCATAACAAGTCCATGATGATTTATTTCCATTCGTGCAGGTATTCCTTATTCAAAAATTAGGAAGATCATGGAGGAAATCTCGGCAGAAGGTAATTTTCGTTCATGCAGAATTTGATTAGTTTGAATTGAAATTCTGATAACACGATGATTTCGGCCATCTCCAGTTTTATGTTCTGTAGATATGTTCATATTGTCGTATTGGTGTGATTCTATCTATGCAGCCACTCGATCAAAGTTACATTGAAATATTGCAACTTTTTGGGGATTCCAAGGACTCACGTTACTCTATCCACAATCTTCTCCAAGCTAGAACAGCTTATGGCCTTGCTCCGGGATCATGGATAGGCCCATATGCCATGTGCCGCACCTGGAAAAGTTTGATTCGTAGTAAGAGGGATGGAACTAAGTGTGGGGAATTGTCCAATATGATGGGCTATACACGTGGTTTCTGGTGATGAAAATGGGGAAAGAGGTGGAGCTCCTGATCTTTGTGTTGAGGATATTTCAAGACACCTGTTTGAGTTTTCTAAGGCCAAGTTGATTGGACTCCTGTCCTCTTGTTATTTCCATTGGTTTTAGGACTGGACAAAATCAACCTGAGGTATGTTATTATATTTCACAGCCTGTGGATTTGGAAGTGCCTTGTAGTTAAAATTCTACTTCTTCCACTTCTTGTAGGATAATCAAAGTAAAAAGTGTTCCTGCTTGCTCTGTTGACAGTTTAGAGGTGCCCAATGAAAATTAACCATTAATACCCAACCTTCAAATCCAATAAATGCCCAAAATTTGAAATGATCAAATGTCTATATCACAGCTGAAATTAAAAATAAGGTAATAAATAAAGGATTTGAAAATACTATCCATGCATGTGAAGTTCATTTTCCCCTTCATAATTTGTTTATCAGTATGACAATTAAAAATATTAAGACCTCAGGATATAGCCAGTATGTTTATCCAACTGTGCTAAGGGTGAACAGATTAGCAAAACAAGTATCAACGTGTAAGAGGTTTTACTAATGCCCAACAATCATCTTCATCGGCGTGAGTTAGATGACTTTTCAAATCAAAACCTGAGAACTTGAAAGTGCATTATGAACAAGTTTACAATATAATCACGCAATTACTTTATCAGTTTGGTATAACCCATTTTTAACCCACTCCACTTGCTGAAAACCACCCATCCTAATGCATAATCCATACTAGCATGTTTTTTAATGTGTGAAAACACTTTAGCCAGTCATTATGTTTTTGGACGTTCTAGAATTTCTTACTTTTGCGATAGCATGCTCTTAGTTTGTTTACATTGGAGAACATGCTATCGCAACTTTTCATCCAAGTAATGTAAAGATTAAAATCGGTGTAGATCATGTATATTCAATCAGCTATCACAGCCATTCAGTTTCAAGGTTTATTTTCTTTTTGTTCCATTGGACGGTATTAATTATAAATAGATAGCAACGAATAGGGAAGTGGATAGTACTCATGGGTCCCGAGTGTTTAAGAACTCTTTATAAACATGAGTCAAAGATAGACTTAATATAGAAGGTTGTTTTCTTATTTATATTTTGTACCTATTTCATTTGTGGAAGCTCTTGTATATGATAATGTACAAATATGATTAATTCTTATCATTTGATTGACTAACAGGTTCTTGATATTAAGCTGGATAATTTAGACTTCGATACTTCATCTTATCATTGCAAGTAAGTTGATACTTAGACCAAATTTGCTCAAAGTTTTCTTTTTCTTTTCCCTTTTGCCTTTCATTCTGTATTTAAATGCTTGTTTTCTGCATCTTTTCGATGTAATATTCTTGGATGTGCTTCCAATGTTGTGCAGCACACGCCTCTGGATTCGGTTGACCCATCCTTGGCGATTGGATTTTACTGCAAAGACAAAAGTAAATCGCATTCCTTCTTGTTGCTATTTGGTTTGTTTCATAATTTTCACATCTTGACCAATGATTCAACCTAATTACTTTTGCCAGACGATTTTGATGATTTTTGTTTACGCACGTCAGAGCTAATCAGTCAGTCGAGTGGTGCTCCACTATTAACAATAACCAAGACCCGAACCTCTCCGAAGACAGCCAGTCACCATGGCATGACATTGCTGTAAGTCAAGATTATGATTTCATCAACGGGTTGTCTACTGGCGATTCTTGTACCCGAGAAGATGACTGGCAATTCCTCTACCCTGATTAATGCCATATTCCAGGACTCATGTTAGATATGGAAACATCTGTATACATTTTTTAGGTTGTTAAATTTGTTATTTTAACCTGCAAGATAACTTTATTCTTCAGTTTTATCTTTTCCTTCCGAACTTCTTGTCTGTAAACTAAATTTAGGATTGTGCATAGACTGACTGTGCACGGATAGAAACTTTTGTAGTGGTTCGTTCTCAATGTAAGATCTCTGTCTGCTCACAAGAAATTTTGGTTCCTGAGGCCCAAAATACTTTGAAGGAGAGTATAATCTTAATTGTGTGTAGCTGTATTAGGAGACAATTATTTATAAGCAGTGAATTGTTTATAGTTGTTACGTTTTCCCTCGTTTTGTTCAAGGTGGTGGTTGAGTGAATTGATAGCTAGACTAATTGAAAAGATGTATTGAATAATGGAAGGGATCGATGTGAAGCCCCATTAATTAAACAAAACTGTTTGTACAGATAAATTGTATATGACAGTTACAGGTGCTGAGACGGCAATACTTTATTGACTGTTTTAACTTTGATTTTTGTCGAAACTCTAACGAAATGCTACTTGTTGACTCAATCTAACAAATTGGTTTATACATGTAACATATTTGCATTACTTAATAGAAAATGCTATGTACACATACAGTACTCTAACAATCGTGGGGCTCGCGATTATTTTAATCGTGAGCTCCATTCTTGTGTGTGACAACTATCAAACATAATGTCAAAATTGTTGTACTAAATAATCGCGAGCCCCACTTCTTGTGTGTGACAACTATAAAACATAATGTTAAAATTTCTGTACTTGTAGCAAGATTCTTAATTAATACCTAGCTAATTAGTTCTTTCTTGCCTTGGCGAGGGTTTCGTCCGTAGATTCTCTCTTGTGGCCTTGATTTCTGCTATTAATTGTGCAAGAAGCACACTGATAATACAAAGTACTATACCACTCGGGGACAGGATTTAAAGCATGCTACCTACCAAGTTGTCAAATTCACAAGTACATCGTGGACTTTTCCTTACTAGTAGCCCTTTTGCTTGGGGGTTGTACAAAGAAAGCACTGCTGCTGCACCAACTCTCTCAAGAGAGACTTAAATGTTTGTTTGGGAGATATTTGTCTGAAGTGAAAATTGGTTTTTTTGAAGAATTTGTAGTTAAAAATTATGATTTATGTTCAAAATTACTATTTTATCGTGAGAATGGAAAATAAATTTAGAAAAAAGTGATTTTCGTATATATTTAGATGTTTTATATAAGTCTTTTTGTCTAATGACTTCGATGCACTGTATCAAAAAATCAACATTATTTTCCCCACAAAGGAAGACCAAGTACTGGGTAGTAGGCAGCAATGGCACATGCCTGCCATCTGTATCACTATAAATACACTGTACCCCACTTGATACTGTCCTTTTCAATGGTGAAAAGGCAAAAAACTCAGAGCTCTGAAGATACTTTTATAATCTCTCTCTGTCTCCCTTCATTTGGTTTCGGTAGTTTTGAGAAAATCTAGGAGACTAAAACCCTTTAATCCATACTCAGAAAACACGCAGAGGACTGTGAGAGAGATTAAGGAAAAGATGGCAGAGGAAGGCCAAACGCGTTGTAGCAGTGAAACAGTTAATAAGCCAATTCATAGAGTATTACTCATATCTGCTGGCGCTAGTCATTCTGTTGCTCTACTCTGTAAGTTATGTAAAACAATCTCTATCAATCTCTCCTGTAAGCGTAAAGTTGTATAAAACATGTATTTGTACACAGGCACGGGTGTATTTGAGATTGATAATGAAGGACACATTCTTTCATTTAGGTTTTGTCGAAGACTTTGATTTGCTTAGGTAAATTAGGTTGTCCTATTTTTCAGTAATTTAATGTTTTTTGCATGGACCAGAATGCTCCATTTAACTGGTTTTGCTCCTTCTGAATTTTGTAAGGAGGGGCATCTCTGTAACTTTAAACTGATAACCTTGCACAATTTTGTAAGTATGGGAGTATGCTCTTGGTTCTGTTTTGCCAAATTTCTGAATAGACAAAAATTGTAGATGTTAGTCTTATTACATTGTGAAAATGTTACATGTTCTTGCAATGTATAAAAACAATCTGATTGTAAACTCTGCTCTCGTAATTATGATCTCTTATAGATTAAATTCATAAAACAAAATTGCTACTTTGATAATTTATGGATGTCAAACATTGTTAAAAATGTTAAGTCATAAGTGCTTTAAATATTTAAACCTTTTGGAAGATGATGGTCTTTTGCATATCTTGCAGTCGGAAATGTTATTTGCTCTTGGGGAAGGGGAGAAGATGGGCAGTTAGGCCATGGGGATGCTGAAGACCGGCTTTCCCCGACTCAATTGAGTGCATTGGATGGACAAGAAATAGTATCTGTAACTTGTGGAGCTGACCATACAACTGCATACTCGGAGTCGCAAATGCAAGTATATAGCTGGGGGTGGTAGGTGTTCTATTCTATCTACAACAATTTGGATTTTGGAATTCTTTGATGTTTGTCAAAAGCGTCATAACAAATGAATTTTGGAGATGAATGGATGTTGATGATCTACTTTCACAAAATCTTTTTCGGGAATTCAAAAACATCTTGCATTCTTGCAAAATTCTGTTTAAGATTGCTAAGACACATATGCTTCCAGTTTCTGAACACCTCACTCAGTATATAAAGTAGCTACTGTAGTTTGGACACTGTACTTCAAGACTATCTCAATATAATGAGGCCTAATCAGTCAATCCAGGAAATCACTAGGGAGTAAAACTCCTTGTGTTGCACAATTTTTTTTTGCAGCAAACAGGGTGATTTACTCAACATGATTTATTTATGTATAAAAGAGTCTTTGGTTAAACACACTAACTTGTACTCTATACAAACCATTCTAGGGGTGATTTTGGGAGGTTGGGTCATGGGAACTCCAGTGACTTGTTTTCTCCTCAGCCAATCAAAGCATTACAGGGTCTACGGATAAAACAAATTGCTTGTGGGGACAGCCATTGTTTGGCTGTGACCATGGAAGGTGAAGTGCAGAGGTTGGTTCTGCTCGAAGCCCTTCAATGTACTTATAAATATTTGCATGTACTTTCCTGGTATTAGTTTGGGCTAAAGAAATAGCTTCATCAGCTGGAAAATGTTCTACCTTGCAGATTTATACATGCGTCCTCTTACTATTTGCATTTTTCTCCACAAGTACAAAATACAATATCGGCATACTTTAGTATCTAAATTTCAAATATTGTTTTCACTTCCATGTTTGCTGACTTTGAATAGATATATACAAGAGAGCAATTATCCCAGTAAATCTCAACCCATTTACTTAGATAACCCGACAAATAGATTTCTATGCAATTCTGAAATGTAGGAAATGCTAGTATCGTTTTGCTGTAACTTGTAGTGCAACAGTATGCTTATTATCTTACTGAGTTAAAGCTTGTATGGGAAGTTTTCATAAACGGTTTAAATTATAAACATAAGGAAATGAGTGGTGAATAAGTGCATAGTACTTGTGGTTTCCACGAAATGTATGGATAAAAAATGGTTGGACTGGTATTAACGAAACATGGGCTTAATCATTTGTTGACAACGGTGTGGTGCAGTCCTGACCCTCTTTTAAAGAATCAAGACATAGAATTCTTTTCTTTGAACTGTGCAAATTACTCGAAGCAACCACAGCATTCCCCCCCTCCCCCCCTCGAGCCCTGCAATTTGTGTGCTATTAGTTTCCTGTGTGAAAGCTAGATCCTATGTTGAATCATTTCAATCTAAGAGTTTTTTGGACTTCTCCCATGTAGAAACATTAGATTTTTAGTTTGTTTTGAGTTATGATACATCTAAATGAGCTGAATGTTTACTCTTTTTGACATTTTGCATTTTTTTTTTTTTTACTTGTACTTGGTTAAAGTTGGGGGCGTAATCAAAATGGTCAACTTGGCCTTGGGACAACAGAGGATTCTCTCGTGCCTCGGGAGATTGAAGCTTTCAAGGTACAATCAATTCAAGAAGTTCTTATAGCTGCTTTCTATTTCTGTCACTCATTTAATATAAATGTGTTTTCCTTTTTCTCCTCCTGTTGCTAATTCCTGCAGTCATTAAAAATACAATGTGTCCAAAGAAACAGAATGCTATATATGCCTGTTGCATAAGCATAACAGAGTTCACTGAAAGTATTCATGTGAACAGGAAATGAATGATTTTGAAGCTTGCTTTTCATTTTTTCCAATTATCAAGTCATTCCACCTGGAGTTTCATGTGATGTTATTTATTCTATTCTCATGTGATGCCTATGAAGATATAATGATCCAAATAGTCAATATATGTAGCTCTTCTACTGTTAAAAAGATGGTCTGTCTTCATGAATCCTCACAAGGAAAAAAATGCAGATCGAGAAAAGAACGCCAAGTAATTGTAGAAATGATATAGCGTTATAATCACTGAATGTTTTGACTAAGGATAGTAGATGGATTCAACACTGACGCCGAGGACGACATAAAGTTTATTGTTTTATGAACATTTGAAGGAAGGCTGTGTGGTGGTTAGTTGCATTACAAAAGCATACAATTCTGAATGGATTTTCATTGTTTCTGGGCATTTCAGAGCCTAAGAAATCAGATTTTCAATTTTAGCTTGGGAAAGCATAAACTTTTTTAAAAGTTCTTCTCTGGTCAATGCTTTCATGTAATCATCCATAACCCCACCAAAAACAGTAGAAACTGAATAATAATAATAATAATAATAATAATAATAATAATAATAATAATAATAAGTGAAAAAGAATAGCAAAGAAAACAGTAGTTTCATTTTTTATGATTAAACTATTTTTCTGTGCATAGTGTTTGCGCATAAAAAACTAATATGGAACCGGCTAAGCATGATAAAATCAGTTGCAAGCAGAGAGACACTCTGTCTTGTCCATTTAATATTAATATTTCTGGGTAAGTGTTTTGAACATTTTATAGATAAACTACTTGTGCTTTTTGTAGGGAGTATCTATCAAAATGGTCGCTGCTGGTGCTGAACATACAGCTGTAGTAACAGAAGATGGTGAGCTTTATGGCTGGGGGTGGGGTCGATATGGAAATCTAGGATTAGGTGATAGAAATGACCGCTTGATTCCCGAGAAAGTTTCAACTGTCGAGGTATGTTGGTACTCTGAATATCCACGTATTTTTTCACGTCAAAAACAGCTCGTGAAAATCACATAAAAATCGACCCTGGGACTAAAATGAATCTCCAACTTAGTCCCATTCACCTTCTTTCCTTCCCCCCCACTCATGGTAATCAAAATTTGCAGGGAGAAAAGATGGTTCTGGTGGCATGTGGATGGCGGCATACAATATCTGTTTCCACTATGGGTAGTTTGTATACTTATGGGTGGAGCAAATACGGTCAACTAGGACATGGAGATTTTGAAGACCACCTAATCCCTCATAAACTACAATCTTTGCGTGAAAAATGTATATCTAAGGTAATTGTCCTTTCCGACAAATGTTATAAATTTGCGTCATTTCTTGGGGTATGTTTGGTTCCACTTATTTTCCTCACTCTTTTGGCTTTAATTTGAAATGAATCAGAAAATTTCTATTGTATTCTGTAAAGCCTTAGATATTAGAAATGTGGATCACAGGGGAAACGAAGAAACTATATTGTTTTTGTACTATTCATGTTTTTAAGGTTCTTATATGTTCTTCCTTTTCGCTCCCAGATATCTGGTGGTTGGAGACATACCATGGCAGTGACAACCGACGGAGAACTTTATGGTTGGGGCTGGAATAAGGTTCAGAATTCTAGTTTCTTCTTGATTTAGCTTCAACATAATCTCATTGTGCATATCATTGTCAAGCACATCTTTTATATTTAACTAACTTTAAATTGCTCTCTTCATTGATTTATTTATCTGTGCACAGTTTGGACAAGTTGGTGTTGGCGACAACGTTGATCATTGTTTGCCTGTACAAGTCAAATTTCCACATGATCAGGCATAGTTTTTATTCTCAATGCTGCTACTTTGTCGGTTCCAAATGCACAAATCAGTGTCTGATTCTAAGGTTTTCCACTTAAAATTTATGGCAGAAAGTAGTTCATATCTCTTGTGGTTGGAGGCATACACTCGCTGTCACTGAAATGCAGAATGTGTTTTCGTGGGGGAGGGGAACAAACGGTCAGCTTGGCCATGGGGATACTCTTGACAGGTAATACTATACCAAACCATTTATTTTAATTCTGAATATCTTGTGATCGATCATCCGAAGTCGACTTCTGTAACTCATGCTGTTTTGTTTTGCTTACAAACCACTACAGTGATAGCTAATCAGTAAAAGTTAAATTCCTATATCAAAATTGTGGTTCTTATATGAAGAATGTGGAATTTAACTCAATTTTCCACTGGGTTTTTCAGAAATATCCCAAAGATCATAGAGGTACTGAGTATGGATGGATCGAGTGGACAGCAGATAGAGGTCTCAAAAGGTGACGTATCGTCAGGTTCTGTTTATGATTTCCACATTCATAGTTATAATTGTTTTTGTAATTAGCATGACCTGATCTTAGTATATTTATGTTTTTCATTTACAGAAAAAGGTTTGGTCTCACCGTCTGACAGATATGCCGTCGTTCCGAATGAAAATGTAAGTTCATCTTTATATAGATCTTAGCATCGTTACACAACTAACTTATTCTATCTTAAAAGGTCAACCTTCTTAAGAGAAGTATCCGCCTATAAGTTGGTATATGTTTTAATCTTTATTTAATGTGCGATTTTATACTTACCATGTCTCCACAAGATGGAGGCTCATTTTTTGAGCAAATCAATTTTGAAATCTGTGTGCTTATTTTTTGCGCCTTAATCGGATCAAATTGTTCTTTTAAGCTTAATAGCTTATGATACCATATTAAGAATTAGGGTTTCATCTTAAAATGTTAACCTTCTTAAAAGTAATAGTCAAAACCCTTATAAATTGATTTTTGCTTTCATCTTTATTTGAAGTGGTAATCTACTCCACTCACTGCTTATACGAAAAAGAATGGACATCTCTTGAACATAATTGTCACTGCAGGTCTCATTTGGCGGTAATGCAAACGACATAAACGTCCCTGGCAGTGATGTAAAAAGGATGCGGATGTGAATTTCTCGACCTCCATGAGGTGTAGTGCATGTCCTTGATGCCTTTAAACTTGCTTGTAGGTTGCTTGGACAAAATACTTATCGTGTAGGTCTTCTGTAGCTGACAGATACCTAAGTGCGTATTATAATTCCTGCTTACTGTAATTTCATGACTTGTATTGTTGATGCAATTTGTTAATCATATCATACTAATTAATCAGTATATTATGTGGGAATTATTTGGTGTTGGTAGATGTTTTCAAGAAAATCTCATTGACATGTTTGACGATAGTGTCGATTACTATACACTCCACCCTATTGAAACACAAGCCATAAATAACATGTGAATTCTGTCCGCTGATAGTTATGCAATACGATACACATTGTGCTCGTTTGGCGAAGTTTTTTCGTCTACTTTTGCCCTTTTGTAGAAGGGTTTCTTGATGTTACCTTTCGGGTCCGTTTGACATAGCTTTAGAAAAGTTAAAAAGCACTTTCGAGATTCAAAAGCCGCTTTTGAATTCATTTAGTTAATTTTATGAGAGTGTTTTTCTAATTAAAAGAGCTTTTAGAGAAAATTAATCCAATGTGACTTCTTATAAGATCACTTTTAGAATAGGAGGCCTCTTTTAGTAAAAGCACCTCCAAAAAATTATTGAAAAGGGAAATCCTATTTTATGAAGCAATTTTTTACTTTTTAAAAGTTTTGCCAATGCCAAAAGTAGTCAGAACATATCAAATAAATTTTAATTTTCCAATATCCTTTACAAATAATATGGAGAATAAAATTAAGCTCTTGTATGGTTTTCACCCAAAAAAAAAAAAAAAAAAAAAAA